CCTGAGAACGAAAGTCGGGATCCTGAGAAAGAAAGTTGGGATCCTGAGAAAGAAAGTCGGGATCCTGAGAACGAAAGTCAGGATCCTGAGAACGAAAGTCAGGATCCTGAGAACGAAAGTCAGCATCCTGAGAAAGAAATAGGCTATGCAGAAGCAGTTAGATTAAAAAAAACAGCAGTGTGAATGCCGACTCAGTGTTGATCATATTCTGTACGCAGAATCATTTTCTGTTTTTCCTTCCTGACTGTTTGTGAGGGTCTGGTACATGTTTTCACCCTCCCCATGTCTGTATTTTGTCTGTCTGGCTCAGGAGGGGAGCGGACCCTCACAATACTCCTTCTGTCTCCCTGATGCCTCCTCTGACTTGCATCACTGCATCGTCTGTTTTCAACTGGAGCTGGAAAACATTTTTACTATAAGTGAAGTTTTTGCCAACACACTTAAAGCTTGTAGGGTACTCTGGAGTAAATATTCCCATCAGGCTGTATGCAGTGCAGCTGAAGTTAGACAGATCAAGTGAGATTAACAGCAGAGATTAGCTCCCAGCACCCAGGCAGTGGAAATTCCTTTAAATCCAGGACAAAGGAGTGGAATGCTGCATGTGAGTCTCAGGTTGGACGTTTATAAAACTGACAACAAACACGTAAGCAACAATATGAGTGATCCTGACAGACTCACAGCTGGACAGTACCTCTCCTCGCCAGATCCCTGGCTGTCTCTTTACCAATCCCAGTGTTAGCGCCAGTGATGATGACTGTTTTGCCATCTAACCTCTCCTCTGATGACCAGTGGTTACAGCACACACTCCTGAACAGCACATACAACAAATAAATTAATACAAATAAAAAAATTAATACAAAAAATAACACATTTTTCTGTTAAACCTATTATTTATTTGAGAATGTGTTTAAAGATCAAAGTTCCAAGTCAAAGAAAATCACTCATGGCTACATTTCCTCCCAAAAAAGGCCTTGCATCCCACCACTTTTTATCCCTGAGTTTTATGCTGAAATTGTAACTTTTTTCATCAAACTGAAAATTACGATGTGCCCATTCGTTCAAATTCTCAAAGCATTTGTTGTAAATAACTTTCAGCTACTACCACACCAAATTTTAGCTCTTTGTTTGTAAAACTGACTGAGTTATGACCATTTTTGTTTTGTCTAATATCAGTTAGCTGTAGCTATCACGTTTAGGTGAACTGGCTCCAGAAATTCTTGAGTTGTAGAAGTATCTCCAAAAATTACTTTCTGTAGGTTTCAGTGAAACCCATTCAATGGTTCATTAGATATTTTGCTAACAGACATACACACTCACTCGTACAAACAGGTCCAAACATTTTCTTTTGCCTTTGTCTTAAAGCAGCAGTTGGTAAATACTGTATGTGTTCAGTTATGTTACAGCACATTACTTGAGTATGTTTTTTTCTTTAAAATGTAATTTTATTTTAAAGTATTCTCAAAGATACATTTTAATTTAAATAATTGCACAGATAAGTAACACATGCAACAAGTCGAACAATGTTTAATCCTCTTTCTACCTTTTTCCTACATTCCAGAGTAACAGATGCAGCCTCCTTACACTCTATGCTTGTAGAAAAGCATTTATTTATTTATTTTCTCCTACCTGCAGTACATTATTCATCCAGGGAAACTAATTTCCACCTCACAGGACAGGTGAGAGGCTTCCGCAGGAAACAAACCGTGCAGCTCCTTCAGTGTTCTGTGAATAGTTCAGCAGTTGGCTTTCTTTGTGTTTTTCATCTCTCCCACCCCACTGCATGCCTGCTGCTGCAAGTGTTTTTCACATCTCCCGGCCGAGCCAATCAGGAGCGAGCTGACGCCTGGCTGATTCACAAGATACAGGCTGAGAAACAGCTTTTCATTTACCTCCTGCTGCCTGGGCTCAACGCAAACAAAAGACAAAAAATGTAATAATTCTTCTTTAAAAATGGTAATTGTTCCCCCCAAACTTAAAAGGTTTTTTAAAGGTTTTATAAATTGACTCAATAAGTTATTTGGTATTTTAAAACTAGGTTTTTAATTTAATAATAACAATAAAGC